TTTTAAAATTATATACTTGTGTATGTCCAAGTGAGGGTATGTACACATGAGCATAGGTGCCTTCAGAGACTAGAGGAGGTTGTTGGATGCCCTGGAGCTGGAGTTACAGGCAGTTATGAGCCACCTGACATGAGTGCTGGGAACCGAACTCAGGTCCTCTGCAAAAGATGTATGCACTCTCAACTGCTGAGCTGTCTCTCCAGCCCCGTTTTCTTAAAGAGCTCCTAGATAGTGACCAGTTCTGTTCAGAAAGAATATCCCAGGTGATCAAAGTGACTCTTCTTTTTCAGGAAATGGCACCTCAGTTAGCATTATTATGGATCAAGCTAGGAGCTCTGACTGTACCTATAAAAATGGAACTGACTCATCATAAGCCTCTCTCTCTCTCTCTCTCTCTCTCTCTCTCTCTCTCTCTCTCCCGTCTTGTTTCTTTAAGGTTTTATTGTAGTTTGGTTTGTGATTGCTTGATTGCTTGGAATACAAGGTCTCATGTATCCCAGGCTAGTCTGGAATTCTGTGTGTAATAGAGGATGACCTTGAATTTCTGAGTCTTCTTCCTCCATCTCTCAAGTACTAGGATGACAAGCATGTACCACCATGCCCAGTTTATGCTGTTCCAGTGGTGGAACTCCCTGCTTCATTCATACAAGGCAAGCACTCTACCAGCTGAGTCACAGCCTTATCCCCACATGTATACCTTTTATTTTTTTGTTTAGTTTTTCTTCCAAATTTGAGATCATAATTTCATTGATTTACAGTCATCAGTTTTTCAAATTATTTTGAAACAGTGACAAGTTAAAAGATTTAAAGTATAATATAAACACCTTTTAACTTTATTTTATTTATTTATTATTGTGTATGCATGTGTATGATGAGGGGAACATGCCATGGAGTGCTTGTAGAAGTCAAGGAAGAGTTGTCTTTTCCACTTTTCTGTGGGTTGCAAGATTGAAGTCAGGTCCTCAAGCTTGCAGAGCAAGCACTTTACCCAGTGAGCCATCTCACAGGCTTCTTTCTCATTATTTTAACTTTTTAAAAATATTTTATTTATTATTTTTATTTTATGTGTATGTGTGTATTGCCTGTGTGTAGGTAATTGCACCATGTCATACAATGTCCGAGGAGGACAGAAGAGGCTGTTGGATCCCCTGGAACTAGAGTTACGGATAGTTGTTAGCTGCCATATGGGTGCTGGGATTCGAACCCAGGTCTTCTGCAAGAACAGCCAATGTTCTTAATCTCTGAGCCATCTCTCCAGCCTGCCCCCACCCCCTTTTTTTTAAAGATAAGATCTTATTCTGTAGCCCACACTGGCCTCAAACTTGCCATGTAGCCAGGGCTAGAACTCCATGTCCAGCTTTAAGATTTATTTATATGTCTGTGTGTACATGTCTGACATGTACATGCAAGTGGACGGGGAGGCCAGAAGAGAGTGTCAGGTCCTCTGGAGCTAGAGTTATACACTGCCCATTATGGGTGGTGGGAATCACTCTAAGGTCCTCTACTATAACACCAAGTACTTTTAGCCACCAAACCTATTTCTCCAGCCCCCGTTCCTGTTCTTATTGTTGCTTTTTTTTTTTCTGGTTTTTGAGACAGTCTATCCTGTGTAGTCCAGTCTGACCTTGAACTTGGAATCCTCCTGCCTCAGTCTCCCAGAGAACATTTTTTTTTAATTTGAATCCTGATGCCTCTTTGCCTTTGATTCTTTTTTTGTGGGGAAGGGAGTACTGAGGATGGAGCCCAGAGCCTTGTACATGGTAGGTAAGTGCTCTACCGTGGAGCCCCTGCAATCCACCCCTGAATGCTTGCTATGTCTTCACTATAAACAATCATTCTCTTCTACAGCTCCAGTGTAACCATCAAATCAGGAAATGATTGTTCAAATTCTCAGACCCTATTCTTGTGTTTTATTTTAGTAAGGTTCTTTTTAGAAAAACGATTCAATTACCTTCACAAATTGTGTTTAGTTCTCCTATCTCATCAATCTCCTTCCAGCCTTTGCACCCCATGTTCACTTGATGAAGGTGATGTCTGCAGGCTTCTTTTTTTTTTTTTAATTTTTACAAAAACTTTATATTGCCAGGTATGGTGGCACATGCCTTTAATTCCATCACTTAGGAGGCACAGGCAGGATCATCTCTATGAAATTAAGGCCAGCCTGGTCTACATAGTGAGTTCTAGGCCAGCTGGGGCTATAGGGAGACCCTGTCTCAAAAAAAAACAAC